CAGCCAGCAGTGTTCCAGCTCCTCCTAGACCTCAGGAGCCCTATTATGCACCGCCAGTATCCATTATGCCTCCTACTCAAGGTGCTATTACCGGCCAGTCCATCAGGCCAGGTCCGAGTCAGTCTAAGCCGCCACATCCTCCGAGAGGTTGTTTTGAGTGTGGTGACACTCGTCACCTGGTTAGAGATTTCCCCAGAGCCAGGAGGGGTGCACCTCCACAGACTTATCAGCCTCCACCGGGTCCTCCGTCCATTCTTCCAGCACCAGCTGCCACCCCACCTCCTCAGCCAGCTTAAGGTGGAGGTCGGGGAGGTCGAGGTCGCCCTAGAGGGGGAGGCCAGACCAGGTACTATTCCCTTCCAACCCGTTCAGAGGCCGTTGCTTCAGATTCAGTCATCACAGGTATCGTCCATGTCTGTCATAGGGATGCATCACTATTATTTGACCCAAGCTCTACGTATTCATATGTGTATTCTTATTTTGCTCCGCATTTGGGAATATCTAGGGATTCTTTGAGTTCCCCTGTTTATGTATCTACTCCTGTGGGAGATTCTCTCATTGTGGACCGCGTATATCGGTCGTGTTTGATTGCTCTTAGTGTTTTTGAGACCAGAGCCGATTTGTTATTATTCACTATGGTAGATTTTGATGTTATCTTGGGCATGGACTGGTTGTCGCCTCATTATGTTATTCTTGATTGTCACGCTAAGACCGTGACGCTGGCTATGCCAGGTTTGCTGAGATTAGAGTGGAAAGGTACCTTAGAGTATACTCCCTGTAGGGTCATTTCATTTCTTAAGGCTCAGCGAATAGTTGAGAAGGGATATGATGCGTATTTGGCCTATGTGAGAGATGTCAGTATTGATACCCCTACAGTTTAGTTAGTTCCAGTATTGAGGGACTTTCCAGATGTATTTCCAGCTGATCTTCCGAGCATGCCGCCCGACAGAGATATTGATTTCGGCATTGATTTGTTACCGGGCACTCAGCCCATATCTATTCCTTCTTACCGTATGGCTCCTCCTGAGTAGAAGGAGTTGAAGGAGCAGTTGCAGGAGTTGCTTGATAAGGGTTTCATCAAGACCAGTGTATCACCTTGGGGTGCTCCGGTCTAATTTGTGAAGAAGAAGGATGGTTCTATGCGTATGTGTATTGATTATCGACAGTTGAACAAGATTAGAGTGAAGAACAAGTATTCTTTGCCTCGCATCGATGATTTATTTGATCAGTTATAAGGTGCCAGGGTGTTTTCTAAGATTGACTTGCATCTGGCTATCATCAGCTGAAGATTCGGGAGCCGGACATCCCGAAGACTGCTTTCAGGACCAGATATAATCACTATGAGTTTCTTGTCATGTCATTTGGGCTGACCAATGCCCCATCAGCATTTATGCATTTGATGCATAGTGTGTTCCGGCCATATCTTGATTCCTCCGTCATTGTGTTTATTGACGACATCCTCGTATATTTCATATCTCGGGAAGATCATGAGCAGCACCTGAGGACCGTGCTTCAGACTTTGAGGGAGAAGAAATTGTATGCAAAATTTTCTAAGTGTGAATTCTGGCTTGATTCAGTGACATTCTTGGGCCACATAGTGTCTTGTGATGGGATCAAGGTAGATCCGAAGAAGGTGGAGGCAATGCAGAGTTGGCCTAGACCGTTATCAGCTACAGAGTTTCGCAGTTTCCTTGGTTTGGCGGGGTATTACTGTCACTTTGTGGGGGGATTTTCATACATTCTAGCACCTATGACCAGGCTGACCCAGAAGGGTGCTCCTTTCAGGTGCACCGAGGAGTGTGAGGAGAGCTTTCAGAATCCTAAGACAGCTTTGACTACGACCCCAGTATTAGTATTGCCTACAGGTTTGGGGTCCTACACTGTCTATTATGATGCCTCAAGGATTGGCCTTAGAGCGGTATTGATGCAGGACGATAGGGTGATTGCCTACGCGTCTAGGCATTTGAAGGTGCATGAGAAGAATTATCCTGTTCATGATCTCGAGTTAGTAGCTATTGTTCACGCCCTGAAGATCTGGCGTTATTATTTGTACCGTGTTCCCTGTGAGATTTACACTGACCACCGGAGTTTGCAGTACTTGTCCAGTCAGAAGGACCTTAATTTGCGTCAGCAGAGGATGTTGGAGATACTTAAAGACTATGATATCACTATATTATACCACCCGGGGAAGGCCAATGTAGTGGCCAATGCCTTGAGTCGCCGGGCAGAGAGTTTGGGGAGTTTGGCATATCTTCCGGCAGCTAAGAGGCCCTTAGACTTGGATGTTCAGGCCTTAGCCAACTAGTTCGTGAGATTGGATATTTTAGAGCCTAGCCGGGTATTATCTTGTGTGGTTGCTCGATCTTCTCTTTATGACCGTATCAGGGAGCGCTAGTATGATGATCCTCATCTTCTAGTTCTTCAGGACAAGGTTCGACGAGGTGATTCCAGAGATGTGACTATTAGTGATGACGGTGTGATGAGGATGCAGGGCCGAATCTGTGTGCCCAATGTAGATGGGATTCAGGAGTTGATTCTCGAGGAGGCCCACAGCTCGCGGTACTCCATTCATCCCAGTGCCACGAAGATGTATCAGGATTTGAGACAGCACTACTGGTGGAGGAGGATGAAGAAGGATATAGTTGGGTTTGTGGCCAAGTGTCTCAACTGTCAGCAGGTCAAATATGAGCACCAGAGGCCGGGTGGATTACTTCAGAGGTTAGAGATCCCAGAGTGGAAGTGGGAGCGGATCACCATGGACTTTGTAGTTGGACTTCCACGGACTTTGAGAAGGTTCGATGCTATTTGGGTGATCGTGGATCGGCTTTTATTCCAGTGTTGACCACTTATTCTTCTGAGAGGTTGGCTGAGATTTATATCAGAGAGATTTTCTGCCTTCATGGTATTCCAGTATCCATAATTTCAGACAGAGGTACACAGTTCACATCACGGTTTTGGAGAGCCGTACAGCAGGAGTTGGGTACTAGGGTGGAGTTGAGCACATCCTTTCACCCTCAGATGGACGGGCAGTCCGAGCGCACGATTCAGATTCTTGAGGATATGCCATGTGCCTGTGTGATGGAGTTCAGAGGGTCATGGGACCAATACTTTCCACTTGCAGAATTCACTTACAACAACAGTTACCAGTCCAGCATTCAGATGGCAGCGTATGAGGCTTTGTATGGTAGGCAGTGCCGGTACCCTGTGAGATGGTTTAAGCTGAGCCAGGCCTGATTGTTGGGTACAGATTTGGTCCAGGATTCCCTGGATAAGGTGAAGGTGATTCAGGAGAGATTTCACACAGTCCAGTCCAGGTAGAAAAGTTATGCGGACCGGAAGGTTCATGACTTGGAATTTATGGTTGGTGAGCGGGTCTTGCTTTGGGTATCGCCTATGAAGGGCGTCATAAGGTTCGGGAATAAGGGCAAGCTGAGCCCGAGGTTCATTGGTCCTTTTGATATATTGCGGTGAGTTGGGGAGGTTGCTTATGAGCTTTCCTTGCCTCCCATCCTAGCAAGAGTTCACCCGATATTTCACGTGTCTATACTCCGGAAGTATCACAGTGATCCGACTCATATATTGAATTTCACATCAGTCTAGTTGGACAAAGATCTATCTTATGTTGAGGAGCCAGTAGCCATTTTGGACAGGCAGGTCATAAAGCTCAGGTCAAAGAATATTGCTTCAGTAAAGGTCCAGTGGAGGGATCAGCCGGTCGAGGAGGCGACTTGGGAGACCGAGCAGGATATGCGTAGCCAGTACCCTCATCTTTTCACAGTTTCAGGTATGTCTTTATACTCATTCGAGGACGAATAATTGTTTTAAGAGGGGGAGAATGTAACGACCCAGTCGGTCGTTTTGAGAATTTGAGCCCCGATCCCCTAATATCTGCTTTCCCCATATTTGTTTCTGCTTTTGGGATTTGCCGAAGTGTTTGGTTATGGAATTCGGGGAGTTTTGGGACACTTAGTCCCTAGTTATGAGTTTAAGCCTTAGAGTTTGGACCGTAGTCGGAACTGTGTGAAGACGGATTCGGAATGAAATTGTGTCAACTCCGTTAGCTCCGTTGAGTAATTTTGGGTTTTGGAGCGCGTCCAGAATGTGTTTTGGAGGTGTGTAGTAGATTTAAGCTTGAATTGGCGAAAGTTAGTTTTTCGGCGATTTCGGCCGATAGTGGAAATTTTGATATCGAGCTCGGAATGGAATTTCAAAAGTGGCTGTAGGTTCGTAATGTTATTTGTGACCTGTGTGTAAAATTTGAGGTCATTCGGACTAGATTTGATGTGGTTCGGTATCGTTTGTAGAATTTGGAAAATTTTAAATTCTTAGGCTTGTCGACGTGATTTGAAGGCTCGACTAAGTTCGTATGGTATTTTAGGATTAGTTGGTATGTTTGGTTGAGGTCCCAGGGGCCTCGGGTGTGTTTCAGATGCTTAACGGAATGAATTTGGACTTAGAAAAAAATTTGGTGGTTCTACTGTAATCGCACCTGCGCAAGGCTGCCCGCAGGTGCGAGCCCGCATGTGCGAGAAAATCCGTGCAGAAGCGGAGTTGGGTGGATTGGTTAGGGGTCGCAGGTGCGTGGGAAAAGGCTACATCTGCGATGCCCGCAAATGTGCAAGACTGTTCGCAAGTGCGCAAGTTACACAGAATCAGAGGAGATTTCCGCAGGCGCGCACGCGCAGGTGCGAAGGCAGAGTGGGGCAAGTGAATTGCGCAGATGTGTACTTTTTCCGCACAAGCGCACCCGCAGGTGCGAGTCCAGTTTCCGCAGGTGCGGAAATACCTGGGCAATGGTTAAAACCAAAGGGCTTCGCGATTTTTGTCATTTTTGACTTTGCAAACTCGGTTTAGGGTGATCTTTGAGAGCATTTTCGAGGCATTTCTTGAGGTAAGTCCCTTGTGCTTATTTTTGATCAATAATCTTGCCTTGCCATGTATTTTCCCACCTAGTTAGTGTGTATTTAAGGTGGAAGTTGGAGGCTAGGGATTTGGAAGTTTGATTTGTGGATTTGGAGGACCATTTGGTGTCGGATTTTAGTAAATTTGATATGGTTAGACTCATGAGTGAATGGGTGTTCAAAATTTATAATTTTTACCCGATTCCGAGATGTGGGCCCGGGGAGACCTTTTGGGTATTTTTCCTAATTTCACGCTTTAGCTTCGAATTAATTAGCTAAATTAGTTACTTGTAGTTATATTTATATTATGTAATTTATTTGAATAGATTCGGGCTATTTGGAGTCGAATATTCGTGGCAAGAACATGTTATCGAGGTGATTTGAGCGGTTCGAGGTAAGTGGCTTGCCTAACCTTGTGTTGGGGACTTTCCTTTAAGATAGGGCTATTATTGCAAAAATGCCGTTTTCCCTTCTAAATCATAAACTGTTTTTCCTTATTAAATTGCACTAATACGTTTAATTGTTAAACATAGGCTAGAGAAGCATGCTTACGTGTTTTAACTGCCTATTTGACATTCTGTGTGCCATGCTTAGTTAAGTCCCTACTTTCCTTATATGTGTTCAGTATAAACTGTATAACTCGATGCCATACCTGCCATTTTATCTTGCGTTGCATATTTAAATTGGGAGTACGGACGTATTCCGAGAGACCCCCCTGTATTGCATATTTACTTTGGGACTACGGACGTATTCCGGGAGATCCCCCAGTACTGCATATTTACTTTGGGACTACGGACGTATTCCGGGAGATCCCCCAGTACTGCATATTTACTTTGGGACTACGGACGTATTTCGATTGATCCCCCTGTACTGCATATTCATTTAGAACTACGGGACGGTATCTCGGGAGATTCCCCACTGTGTTACCTTGTTCTGAGTCGAGGACTCCCTTAACTGTTAAATTTTTGAGAGTTTTTTTAACTGTGTTACCGTAAATTTTACTTATACCTTTTATTGTTTAATTTATTATATTTACTTCGGTAAGGCCTTGACCTAACCTCGTCACTACTCGACCGAGGTTAGGCTTGGCACTTACTGGGTACCATTGTAATGTACTCATGTCCTTTCCTGCACATGTTTTCGTGTGCAGATCCAGGTACGAGCTATCAGCCTTGGGGTTAGTGCGTGCTGCTGATTCTAGGAGATTTCAAGGTACTTCTGCTTGCGTCCGCAGATCTTTGGAGTCCCCTTCTACTCCCTCCCCTAGAGACTTTCTTTATTGTCTTCAGACTTTTGTATAGAGCTACATAGATTATAGAAGCTTGTGACTTAGTAATATTCCGGGGCTTGGAAAACTATTTTTGTATATGTCGAGTGGTACTACTCTTGGCTATTCACAATATGCTGGTTATCTTTAAAATGTTGTGTTTTCTTTATATTTTTCGCAATATTAGGCTTACCTAGTCGTAAAGACTAGGTGCCATCACGATAACTTACGGAGGGTTAGTTTGGGTCGTGACAATCTTAATCAAGGATTGGAAAGTATTAAAGACGAAGAAGGCAACAAATAACTTTTGGCATGGTAGAGGGAGCGTGGCAAGGATTTTCCAACACTTTCAATAATGGCCCGAGATATCCTTGCTATTCAAGCATCATCAGTAGCATCGGAGAGTGCTTTTAGCGTGGTAAGATTTCAAATCGGAGATCATAGACATTCATTAGCAGAGGACAGCCTAGAGATTTTCGTATTATTCAGAGATTGGATTAATTCAGAAAGAAGACATCTTGGTTTTGAAAAATTAACCACTAGGAAAGAAGAAGAATACAATGAGATACTTAGCACTGGGAGCGATGACGACATGGAACTCATGGAACATCAATCAACATTGCCAATTCCAGAACAATGTCCGAGAGAAATTATAGATAAGTTACAACGAAGTTATATAGGAGCTTACAAATATTAGTATGATAATTTGTAATTGGCTACTAAGAGGCCTAGTTCAAANAGAACCCTTCCTAGAAGGTGGTTGCGTAGATTAGGTGCTCTTCAAAAGAATTATATTTGTATGTGAGATTTGAAAGTTCTATTAATAAAATAAAAGGTTCTAAGCGTTGAATTTATTTTATGAATTGTCTTACACTCTTACTTAGTTACTTAATGGCTTGAAATTATATTAAATAAATTATAACTCTATTATAAATTTATAATTACTAAAATATTTCATTACAAGTCTTTTGTTTTAATATTTTATAATTCTTTACTTAGTTTCCTAATTTCCGTTTATTTTTTAAGTTTATTAAATAAGTCAAAAAACTAGATGTTGCAAACTTTAAAAACTTAGTCATTATCAAAAGAATATCTGTTGCCAAACTCAATGCTTAAATAATATTTTTTTAAAAAAGGGCACTTAAGGCCCGCGAACCCGTCCCGTCCCGTCCCGTCTCGTCCCGTCCCATCCCATCCCGTTTGTTAGCGGGACGGGATGGGCCTACCATCCATTTCGTCCCGTCCTGTCCTATCCCGTTTGTTAGCGGGACGAGATGGGCCTACCGTTTCGTCCCGTTTGTTCCGTCCTGTCCCGACTAAATGTTATCCTGTCCCGTCTTCTCGTCTCGTTGGACAACCATAGATTTAAATAATGAACAACAAAGAGAGTCCAAATATATGAGGAAATATTTGCTCCATGGTAGAATCGACAAATATCATGTTACTTGCGTTATTCGTAATAACTTCAACAAAAATATTCGGACCTACATTTTCTATTGCTTCAATAAATAATTTAGCAATATATTCCCCATCCTTGTCGACCCCACTAGAATTTATTGAATTTAAAAATATTGTCCCTCCCCCCCCTCCCCCCCAACTAGATGATGCCATTATATTTATCAAAGGTCGTTTCTTAATGTCGGACCATCCATCCGAACAAATCGACATCCCTTTTTTTTTTTCATGTATCTTTAATCGGTTACAACTTTCCAAAAATGTTAGTCTTCTCCTGAGCCAAAAGAGTTGTTCTCAACCTATTATATGGGGGATATAATTGGGAATAGGATTTTCAATAAGAAACTACGAATATTTTTGGAAATAGGGAGATCTTGCAAGATTAAACGATAGACCAGATGCGTAAAATATTCAAGCGGCTAATTTATGTATTTCTTTCATAGATGCCGAAGGATTTCTCTATAGCTCCACCCTCTGGACCCATTCTTTTTCTCTGTTGTAGTAAATCAGTCCCCTCCAGAAGAAATACATAATCAACTTTCTTTCTTGCATCAACTTGAAAGAAAAAAAATCATCCATTAAAGTTGATGCAAGAAAGAAAATTGTTTATGTATCTCTTCCGGAGGGGGCTGATTTACTTTAAAAAAAAAAAAAAAGGTCCAGAGGGTGGAGCTATAGAGAAATCCTTCAGCATCTATGAAAGAAATACAGTCGATAAATTAGTAGCTCGAATGTTTTACGCATCAAGTCTATCGTTTAATCTTGCAAGATCTCCCTATTTCAAAAAATATTCACAGTTTCTAGCTAAAAATTCTATTCCCGGTGATATTCCCCCATATAATAAGTTAAGAACAACTCTTTTTGGCTCCGGAAAAGACTAACATTGCTAGAAAGTTGTAACCAATTAAAGATACATGAAAAAAGAAAAAGTTGTTGATTTATTCTGATGGATGGTCTGACATTAAGAGACGACCTTTGATAAATATAATGGAATCATCTGGTGGGGGCCAATATTTTTTAGGGGAATATATTGCTAAATTATTTATTAAAGCAATAAAAAATATAGGTCTGGATAATATTGTTCAAGTTATTACGGATAACACAAGTAACATAAAATTTTCCAGTTCTACCATAGAGCAAACATTTCCTCATGTATTTTGGACTTCTTGTGTTATTCATTATTTAAATCTAGCGTTGAAAAGTATGTGTCAACCTTCAGAAAGATCAACTCAGTTTGCAAATTGCAAGTGGATATTAAAGTTGCTTGGTCAAATGAGTAATTTGAAGAACTTTGTTGTGAATCATGACATGTCACTTGCAATTTTTCAAAAGCATTTGAATTTTTGTGCTAATTGAAAGTTGTCGAAACAAGATTTGTCTCACACATTATTATGACCACTCATGTTCAGACAGTGAAATCGTCATTAAAGAAGATGGTGAGAATAGCATTGATTACTTTTTAAAGTTTACAAAACCTATTGTAGATATGCTTAAAAGTGTCGATTTTGATAATCCGAAATTGCATCTCATTTATCATATGTGGGATATAATGATTGAGAAAGTTAAGAAAATTATCTTTGAGCACAAGGGGAAGGATATCATTTTCGGCCAATCAAGCTTTTTTTGATGCAATTCATGAGATTCTTGTAGTTAGGTGAAACAAAAGTAATACCCCTTTGCATTATTTAGCTCACTCTTTGGTTCCAAAATATTATGACGAATCATGGCATCAAGGTGAAAAGGGAATTCGAAGGCAAGCTCCTGATGAATATCAAGAAATCTCAATGAATAGGGTCAAATGCTTTCGAAGATACTTTAAAGACAGGGAAATGAAGTCTCATTGGAGTATGGAGCATTTTGTAGTGGGGTGATTATTTTAGTGAGTCTCATGTGATTGAGGCTATGATGTATGAGGATCCTCTTTCTCCGTGGGCAAATTATGGTGTCTCGGCTCCACTCTTGCAAAGCATAGCTTACAAGTTGCTTACTCAACCGACTTTTTCCTCTTGTTGTGAAAGAAATCGAAGAACTGATTCTTTGATTCACAACATCAAGAGAAACAAATATGCAACTTCAAAAGTCGAAGATTTGGTTTTTATATACTATAATCTACGGTTGCTCCCTCGCAAGAAGGAAAAATATACAAGTGGACCGAGCAAGTAATGGGATTTGGATATGTATACATTTTTTTATTTGATATTTTTCTCAATTATTTATTTTGCATAACTCTTTTTCCTTTTCATGAAAACTTTCTAACATATCCATTCTTTTTTTTTTTTAATACTTTAAGTGGAGATCAATTTGATATTGATAAGACAGTTGATGGTTTAACCGAGCAATCAATGGATGAACATCAATTGGAAGGAGTGATCTTTGGAGAAGATTTGGAAGAAGTCGTGGAGGAAAGCTAGGGCCTAAGAGTAGTTAACTTGACTATGCTTTGTCGGTTTTTGGTTAGCTAAGTTCAAATGTACTATTGTTTTTGGTTAAAGGGTGATTTCTACTTGGTGTATTGAACTATTGATTAGTCATGTAATTCAGTAATTATTAATAGCTAAATTGTGGATAAAATGAATGTATTTTGTTTATGTCTTAAATTTTAGATTTCTAATTTCACACTTTCACTTTGTTTAAGATCTTATTTTTACAATACAACTTACATTCTTTATTTCAAGAGTGGTGCCATTCTTGTTCTCGGATAAAAGGTTAATTCTTTCTTTCACTTTATATTTGATTTTTTTAAATTATATCTATTCTATTGTAAATACTTTTAAAATTTAGTTGCTATTTTATTGTGTTCGTAGAAGAATGAAAGATAGAATTCTACAATATACATGTAAGTTTTTCACATAATATCTCTCAAAATTTATAATATCCTTATAGCTCTATTTTTTATAATTTTGAATTTTCTTAGCCGAATCGCCGCACCTGTATCCATACCTGAATCTGCACCCACAGATCTTAAAATTTAGATTTTGCTAAATCCATCACTCGGATTTGTGCCCGTATCGGATATTCGCACCCTAATACGAGCAACTTAGATTGCTACAATGTTTGTATAGAGCTAGAGAATATATCTTTGAATATAATTGAGCTTTGTTCTGTTCATGTAGTTTCTTCTTTGATATCTTACCTAGAAATATTTCTTTTATGTTCTTTTATATCGACTAGTTTCTGAACACGTGCGTTGTACGTGTATCCGATGTCAAATCAAATATGACTTATTTTAGTGTGTGTGTGTGTGTGTGATGAATAGGAATAATATAAGCTCAAATTAATCAATAATGAACCTATTCGACCAGTTTAGTCTGATTGCAGTAAATTTAATTTATCAAAACAAAAAAGAAATAAGGTTCAAGTTCAATTCTAAGGAAGAGAAAAAAAAAACTAACTGTTTAACCTTAAAATTATATGACTATTAGGTATATTATTTGTTGAAATTCTTTCAAAATTAATTTATTTTTCTTCCTTTTGTGTAAGGTAAATATATGAAGATGACTATAAAAGAAAGTTAATAATCATATATGTGAGATCAGTAAAGGTTAAAATATTGTTAGTTTTTTCTTTCTACAGAAAGAAAAAGATAATATTCAAAAGTGAAAATAAGAAAGAGTGATTGTTAGACCCATAAACATCATGAGTATTTGGTAATTTGATTATTGAAATTCTACACAGTAAATGACTTACTTTGCTTCCTTCTGTCTATGATGAATTTATAAGTGACGGTGAAATAAAAGAAAAAAGAAAAAATTAAATAAAAATCATACCAATAATATAAAAAACATACTCAGTAAACATGCATTAATTAAAGCATTATTAGAGTAGTACTTAAAAAGAACCTGCCTCTATCTTTCCCAAAGAGCAATAATGACTTCTGATTATTACTACATATTTAGATGAAAAAAGTTTTTTTTTTGGGATTGGTTTTAAATGACAAAAGGTTTATGGATGCAACATAATATGTATAACATTACTAAAACTAATGAAATGCAAGCTCATGCATATATGTTAATGCACCAGAAAATCTACCTCATGTCAAATTACTTAATTTATCTTACGTCCATATGAAAATTGTGCTAAAAGAATATTTTTTATGAAATATATGCTAAAAGAATATGAAATCCACAATATAAGATGGTGTATCTGTACATCTCTCCGAGTAACAAAATAGAGATATTGCTATCGAGTATCGAACCATACAATGAAAAATAAAAAGACAAAAAGGGAAAGGAAAAAAGAAATAGAAATGAATGATATTATAGTAAATAAATTATTTAGTAAAGTTTTAAAGAACTAACGAAAGAAATAGAAGAAAAATAGGGTGGACCACAAATAGTTTAAATTTAGACGGGGTGCATGTTCTTGAATTTCTCAAAATTTTCTTGTATCATTCGATTTATCCGGATACTATTACACAGAACAATAGCAAGGCAAAATACCTTTAGTTATCTATAGAATTAGAAAAATACTATGGAAAGTAACTAAAAAAGAAATCAAATTACCTGATTATAGTTTGATTTTCCGTATTGCAGATGGTGAGTGACATGCAAAATTTAAAGAATAATGTTTTTAATTGTTATGGCTTGATAGAAAGAACAATAGCTTATAAGTTAGTTGTCCGTTTGTTATGTCTGAGTAGGTATTGGAAAAGGTTAGCATAGGTTTTACAGGTAGATATTACTTCGCCTCCTCATTTGTAGTTACTGTTAAAAGTTGAAAAGAACTTCAAAATATTAAATAGGCATTCTAAAGGTTGCAATAAATATCGAAATGTGAAAGCAGTTGCAACGTATTGAATAGGCTGTAGTAAGTGAGAGTTGCATCTGGACAAGGGAGGATTGTATAAGTGTGACAAGTAGTCACTTGATTTATTAAAGATTGGAACCAAGTATGGAGATTGTGCTACTATCGCTAATGTGAGAATTTGTGCTTGAAGGGCGCTCTGTTCAATTGGTTGTGAATTGTGGAAGTTTGTTCCGGATTCGACGACTATTCATGTGTGTCATAGGAAAGAGGCCGTTGTGGATCCTTGAGAGGGCCATCAAATACGACCTAAGGAACCACAGTCACCGCCCCGCCATGACCGTTCCTCATTTTTTGCGTTTTACGGCCAAGAAACTAGAATTCCGTCCGATTCTCATATTTTCGTGTGCTATAGCCCACGCCTTCTGAGTGGGTCCGGCCCGCCCGGACCCCTATCGCCTAAAATTTTGCTTCTAGCGGTTATTCTGGTTCTCGGGCCCGATTCAGTCCTCTCCACCACCAGTACTGTAGAGTTGCTTTGAGTGTGGGGAATTTGGGCATATTTGCTTATATTTATAATATAGTATGATTTATAGAATCTTCAATAGTCTCTTAAGTAGATGTTGATTAATAATATATTAACTCTGTATTGGAGCTTTTTATTCTCTATTACTGCAATTAACTTATCTACATCTCAATAAATTTGTAACACTAGAAATTCTTGTTCTTTATTCGTATTCAGGACACGTGTGACCCTTAAGAGAGATGGTGTTTTCTTGGATTTGGTTCCCCTTCCCACAAAGGTTAATAATTTACTATTTGGACGAACCTGGGTTGATTCGCCTGGGGAAATGATCATGACAAATCAGACAACCGGGGACAAAGCGGTGCTCTATTTCCAACCTTGTGTTTGGTTTGGGTATGTTGGCATCTCCTCTTAAATATATTTCCAAATTTTCTTGCGCTTCTTTTTCATATTTATTTCTGTTGGTCCTTTTCTTTTGTTATCACATGTATGGTGTGATAACAAAAAAGACTAGAAAGTTCTGCTTTTACTGCTTGATTACATTGTTATGGTATATAAGCCTATCTTAATACAGCATCTGAACTTTGGTTCTTTTTCCGTTGCTTAAAACAAGGAAAGTTACAACCCTTTTCCTTTTTACCGTCCATTGACTCTCAAGCCAATATTTCAACAGGTTTTACTGCTACAAACCTTTGACTTGAACTTTTATATATTATTTTCTTCTCTGCTTCTCCTGATTCTTACAGTGCTTCTATATGATCTGGACATAATTTCACTTGAAGGCATCGCATCTTCCTCCTTGTTAAATTTTGTCACAACTAATAATTGTGGGATGCGGAAATGCGTATAAAATGTTTTGCAGTGTACTTTAATATTCAATCACCAGTATTTCCAACCTACTATTGGTTATCGATAAAGTTGCTTTTTGGGTGCAGGGCTGGACGTTATGAGGTTGATGGTTATGTTTATAATGCTAATGAGGAACCTAATTAAGATACTGATGACTGGAAAATGGATTGAGTTACCAACCCTGTGACATGGAGGGTGAGCCTCTTCCTGGCACAGTGCTAAAAGAGGTTAATGTCTGGCCAGCTTTTCTCATTGAATGGAATTTTGTTCTATCATATGCCAACGTTAATTTGATAAGTTGCAAAAACAAATATGCTCTAATGGACTGTAGGAGTTCATGTATGATGGCATCTTAAAGTGTGATATATATGTTCTTATTTTTTTTCAGGGATGAAATTCCTAAATTTTGTTTCATAAATGGCTGGTAACAAAAAGCTATTCTATAATTTGATTCACTCTAACTCGATTATACATTATACCTCTAGTTTAGTCAAAGTCGCCATCAGTCGGTATAAAGAGTTCATTTATGTCCAAAAAAAAAAGAAGAAACGAATAAACTACAAAAGATAAATCAGAAAGAGAAAATTTGCAGGCTTTATTCATTTTTTGCTTAGAACCTCACTTTAAGTTATTTGTGGATTCATTTGATGGTATTGAAGATCCATGTAAAGTGGATCTGACTTTTCTTTAATAACCAAGAATTTTTCAAGGGCAAGTGGCACATAGTTCGAAACTAGGTAGATAATAGGCTCACTGCTCTGTCATTCTTCACTTAAATATCAGGCTTTTGTTTGCGCCAGAATTTGAATTCGTGACGTGCACCTAACCCACACATTACATGTTCTGCTCTTACCACTAGACCAAAGCCTGGGGCAAAAGGTGGATCTGGCTTTTAAGTCTCATTCTTAAGTTTGTGATTATATTTCATGCTTGCTTATGCGTGAGTTAACTGCTAAGGTCATGTTGTTCGAGTACTTAAATCCTATTGATTATTATTTTGTGAGTTAGTTGCTAAGGTCAATATCTTTCAAGTACTTAAATCCTATCGTTTATTATTTTGCACTTAGTATTATTTGTGTGTTTTCTGGAGTCAAGTCCTACTAAAACTTGTCTAATCGTGAGTAAGGATTTGCAACTATTACCTGCGCCCTCCAAGTCCTACTTAATTAGTTTCCTGTAAAGGCATGTGCATATCGCTACACATCAGAAAATCCTCTTGCTTTGTTGCAGTTATGTGACAATTAAATATTGGTTGCCAGACCCCACTTGTGGGATTTACACCTATTTTGCGCATAAAATAAACAGTTTCGATACTGCTTCCAAGAAGTTGTTAGCATCCGATTCTCGGTTGCACCCCGATAGAGCTGCACTTGAAAAAGGGGACCTATCCAAAGCTGGTGCTGAAAAGAGCAGGTTTCTCTTTTTCCCTTTCCCTTTGTTATGCTCTTATATTTCTCACATAACATGTATACCGATTTATTCTAGGGCCATAGAGTAGAGAAAAGTGAAGTTAGCGTTCTTGAATGCCCTCAGTTACTCCTTGGATCATGCCTCAAACTACCAAATCTCTCTTAGTATCATCTATGTATACTTTTCGAGTATTGAAAGTTGTGAGATAGAGTTGAGATGATAATTGGTTGATAACCTCAATGGTGAACTTAATCCTTTCATTCATTCTGTTTCCTTCTGATTCTAAGATGCTTGCTTTGCCGTTCTGTATCTCTTTAGTTTGGAGGAGAGTCAGAGAGCTGAAAAGAGAAATAGAGAGGCACAAGGACATGAGTTCAAACCAAGATGGTTTGATATGACCGATGAAATTGCACCAACACCATGGGGTGACTTGGAAATCTACCAGTACAATGGCAAGTACACTGAGCAGGCTGATGCTACATTTTTGCATGCACAATTGGATGTTCTGGTTGTGGGCTGACCTTTCTGTGTAAAAGAGAAGCAATTGTTGTTTGTGTAATATGTACATTGTAACACATTTTATAGTCTTGTTTTAGGGTTGTCGCTTTTCTCTTTTTATTTTTCCTCTTCCTGCTCGCCAGATCAGAGTGTTGTTTTAGTTGAAAATTAGCAACCTCAGTTTATGGGACAAGTTTTTTGGGATTTTTAATTATTATATTAATCTATGCGCCCTTTACATTTTCTAAATGTTCATTTTTGTGATGGGGGAATAGCGAATACCTTAATTTTGGACCCTGCTGCATCTATTTGATTCCTAATGGCTGAGAAAAAAAAATTGTAGGGGAAAGAAATGTTTTCATTCTTATGAATTTATGATTGGATTTTAAAAAATACAAGGAAAAAAATAGAATTAATGAGTGACTATAAAATGTGGTTTGTTCGAGCAAGTACATTTTATGTTAGGTTTCTTAAGTCTACTAGTTGTATTGTTTTTTAGGACTCTGCTGATACCTAACGAAATACTTTTTTGGGGGGCTTTATGGTGTAATATGACCACTTAGAGGTTTCACTGGGCTACATTTCATGATTGTGTTAAGTTGGTTCATTTGTTTTACATATCATATTTCACAGTGAATTTATACATGTAAATAATAATTTTTTTGACAAAGCGGATTCGGTTTAACCTGCTTGATTTAGGTCCGCCCCTGATTGGTGGGAGTTAATTTTCAACGTAAAACAAAGTACAACCAAGAACCACATGCAACTCTCAAAGATATATATGGATATAAATACATACTTTAAATGGGGCTGACGTAATTATTGTATTAATTGCAATATGATTTGTTGAACTAAATTAAGAGGAGATTGAGTTTTGTTCAATGCCACATGAAAGCTGTTTCCTGTTTGTTAGCGTTAATTCATTGTTGGTTGCCTATTAGGTTGGTTCATAATCATACTGCACGACCACTATATTAAATTAACCCCAATTTTGGTAACCCTTTCTTATCTCCCTCCAAACCCGAAACAGAAAACAAAAGCGAAAACGAAGTAGACGAATCATAATGATTTTTATGTATTCTTTCTTTTTGGACACATCATTAGCATGAGCAATACATAAGTTCTCTTTATCCAAAAGAAATAATAATACATAAGTTCTATTTTTCAGATAACCACAAACAACCGTGCTCAAATACCTACATAAACAAAAAACTAGGCGATTTGTTTTTTCATATGCCTAATATTGATGGACAAAATTATCGAGTGCTTATATATACTGATGAAAGGTGGCAGTAATGGTAAAATAATCGACGTGTGCCAAGCTAGTCCTGTTACACAAATATCACCATTTAACAAGAAAAATTAATATGTTTTCTAGAACCTGAAACACACAAAATGTAGGTTTTGACTAACATAGTTTACAAAAAATCATTTTCTCGTACACTAATGCAAACACGCATAAGTTTACTTCTTTTTTTCTTTTAAAAATGTAATACGCAATTTGTTTCCTTTAAGAAGCATCTAAAAACTAAAAATATACTCATCTCTAGAAGTCATTATCGAACACATTGAAAGAAGAGCGAAAACTAATTATCTGCCACTAGTCATTATTTGGACATGCACATGCAGTGTTGATCTGTTACCTATTTATTATTTTCAAGCTCCTATATTTGGTTGTTTAATAGAATCTGTCTCCATTGCTGGGAAAAGGGTCTACTCGAGGAAGAGCGAGAATCAAGTGGGGAGTCTTAACTAAGGATAAAGCCCAAGAGTTAGAGGGGCGGTTGTTGGCTATGAGAGTTTGGAGGAACAGTGGTGACGCGAGCATTATGTAGTCAACAACAACAGACTGTATAAGGGAGGCTGCGAGAGAGGTGTTAGGGGTCTCGACGGGCATCGCAGGCGGGCACAAAGGAGACTGGTGGTGGAATGAAGTAGTCCAAAGTAAAGTGGAAGCGAAAAAGGCGGCGTAACTGAAGTTAATTAGTGGGGAGCATAGGTGAGGAGGAGAGGCGTGCGTGCATGGGGAGGTATAAGGTAGCTAGGAAGGAAGCTAAGCTGGCGGTCACGGAGGCTAAGACTACAACTTATGGTCGTATGTACGAGGAATTGGGGGAAAAAGGCGGGGAGAAGAAGCTATTCCGGCTGGCCAAGTTGAGAGAGAGGAAGGCTCGGGATTTGGACCAAGTGAGATGCATCAAGGACGACGATGGTAGAGTATTGATGGAAGATTCCCAAATTAAGAAGAGATGGCACACTTACTTTCATAAACTTCTGAATGAAGAAGGGGATCGGGATATCGTGCTAGGTGAATTGGAGCATTCCGAGAATCACCGTGTCTTTAGGTACTGCAAGCGCATCAAGGTTGAGGAGGTCGTGGGAGCTATGAGTAAGATGAGTAGGGGCAGAGCGACAGGGCCTGACGAGATTCCAGTGGAATTTTGGAAGTATGTGGGGAGAGCAGGTTTGGAGTGGTTGATTGGGTTGTTCAATGTTATTTTTAAGGCGAAGAGGATGCCGGATGAGCAGAGGTCGAGTACAGTGGTTTCATTGTATAAGTACAAAGGTGATATCCAGAGTTGTAACAATTCTATGGGTATCAAATTACTTAGTCATACCATGAAAGTGTGGGAGAGGGTGGTTGAAGCGAGGGTGAGGATGTCAGTGTCTGTATCCGATAATCAGTTCGGGTTCATGCCGGGTCGTTCTACTACAGAAGCTATACACCTTGTTAGGCGGTTGGTGGAACAGTACAGAGATAAGAAGGACCTGCACATGGTGTTTATTGACCTAGAGAAAGCATATGGCAAGGTTCCTAAAGAAGTTCTCTGGAGATGCTTGGAGGAAAAATGTGTGTCGGTTTCTTACATTATGGCGATTAAGGGCAAGTATGATGGGTCTAAAACTAGGGTAAGAACAGTAAGAGGCGACTCTGAGCATTTTATGATTGTTATGGGGTAACACCAAGGCTCTGCGCTCAGTTCGTTCTTATTCGCCCTGGTGATGGACGGGTTAACATACCATATTCAAGGGGAGGTGCCATGGTGCATGCTATTCACTGATGACATATTTTTGATTAATGAGTCGCGAGCCGGTGTTAATGAAAGGCTGGAGGTTTGGAGACAGGCTCTTGAGTCTAAAGGTTTCAAGTTGAGCAGGACGAAAACGGAATACCTGGAGTGTAAGTTCAGCGCTAAGCCGGGGGAAGTGGGCGTGGATGTGAGGCTTGACTCACAGGTCATCCCAAGTACAGGCAGTTTCAAGTACCTTGGGTCGGTTATCCAGGGGGGAGGAGAGATCGACGAGTATGTCACACACTGTATTGGGGTAGGATGGATGAAATAAAAGTTAGCATCTGGAGTCCTGTGTGACAAGAGAATGCCACTGATACTCAAAGGTAAGTTCTATAAAGCGGTGGTTAGACCGGCCATGATATACGGGGCTGAGTGTTGGCCTGTTAAGAACTCACATATCTAGAAGATGAAAGTAGCAGAAACGAGGATGTTGAGGTGGATATGCAGGAACACTAGGATGGATAAGATTAGGAATGATGATATTCGGGAGAAGGTGCGCGTGGCTCCCATTGATGACAAGATGCGGGAATCGAGACTCGGATGATTCGGGCATGTACAGAGGAGGAGTCCAGATGCCCAAGTAAGGAGGTGTGAGCGGCTGGTTGTGGAGGGCACGAGAAGAGGTAGAGGGCGGCCGAAGAAGTATTGGGGAGAGGTGATCAGGCAAGACATGGCAAGACTTCAGATTTCCGAGGACATGACACTTAATAGGAGGATGTGGAGGTCCAATATTAGGGTTGTAGGTTAGGAGGTAGTTGAGTCTTGCCTTACTTCGTACCGTTGTGAGACTAGTCTGGTAGGATTTTTGTCTAAGTTAGCTAGTGGCAATGTCGTGTCTTACTATTTCGCTTTTCAGTGCTGGACCTATTTACTAGCTATCGCTTTTGCTTTGTATCTTTCTTCTGGATTTTATGATGTTCCTATTTTTCCTATAATTTCTGTGGTGATACTGATATTGTCTCCTTTTGTCCTTTTGTCTTTTGTCCTCTTGAGCCGAGGGTCTTTCGGAAACAGCCTCTCTACCTCTTCGGGATAGGAGTAAAATCTGTGTACATACTATTTTCCCCAAATTTCACCAGTAGAATTTCACTGAGTTGTTGTTGTTTTCGTCGTCGTCGTCTCCATTGCTGGAAAAAATAGGCAAGAGCTACCCTCTATTGTTTTTTAAACAAATTAGTAATATTAATCCATTAAAGAAAGAAATGAGTATTTACGACTGTCGAGATACATTTTGCTTAATTAGTTGTGCCGATTCTCAGATTTTTTAACCCAGAGATAGTTTCAGGAATCAAAAATTAAATTTATTTTTAAGAAGTTACTAGCAATTGGTTCGAATCAAAGCTTACTTGAATGGATCGTAGAACTAGGCTAAAAGAACTGTAAATAAAGCAATGAAAATAAATAAACAACAGTAATTAAGAATGATCTCATTGAGCTTCTTTACGAGTCACAATGCTTGCAAAGTAAAGAGATATTGACTGCCCAACTTGATTAGAATACTATAGCTGCGAATAACGAGTGAGTTGAGATTAAACTGAATGATTTACAAGTACAGGAGAGGGAGTATTTATAATCTAACGCCTGTTTGGCGAAACTGAAAAAATCAGCTTATTTTAAAAATATTTTTTTTTCAGAAGTGCTTTTCTAAAAAATACTTTTAGAGAGAAGCAGTTTGTATATGGATAATCAAATTGAAAAGTATTTTTGATCGATAATTTATGTTTGGCCAAACTTTTTAAAAAGTATTTTTAAGTATTAAATTACGAATAAGGGCGTAAAATAATTTACTTAATAGTTAATATTATATAAGTAGATAAATAATCACAAATATTTATTATTAAATACAATAATTAGATTTTTTATACTTTATTTAAGTAAAATATAAAATAAAATTAAAAAGTATTTTATTCTTTCAACATGATTTAAATATATTAAAAAAATCATTCAATAAATATAAACATATGTGCCCAACAAAAGTCACAATATAATATAAAGCTATACTAAAAATAAGTAGGAATACTTATACATTGGGAGAGTTTTCAATAATATCATTTCTAATTCTATTACATTACAACTCCAAAACATTAGAAGACGTTCCTTGCATTTTGAAT